GAAGAAACTTCTTTGGAGTCACCTTGCTTTGAAGCAGAGAAGAGATCCTAGCAGAGATATTGATTATTTTGTGTCATTTGGCTTCAGTGCTCAAAAATGTTTCTGTGCAAGTCTAGTGTGCCAGTATTGGTGTCATTTCAAGATGTAATTTAATGGGAGATGCTGAGACAGTGCTGTAGGCACAACATACCCTTATCCCCATTTGCCTCTGTTTCTGGTCATATGATTTTACTACTCATCATTCCCTCCATGAAAAACATAGATGTGACAGAGAATGAAACCAGTTTAAGAAAATGCAGATAAGTTTCTGTGATGTTTTTAAATACAAGTGGGTCCTGGGAGAACCTGACCATCAAGGAACGGTATACAAGTGAGTGTGTGGCACAGGGAACATTCCTGTGAGCAAGAAAGGGAGAGAACAAACCCAGATAAGAAGAAGGAAGAAAAAGAGAGGAGGGAGTTGGGAGAAGACCTTCCCTTTTGCTGAGCAGGAGCTATTGGATGCACCCAGCTGTCTGTACATTTTGAAAAATGTATTTAATGGAAACTTGGACTCGTAAGCACACTTTCATTAGAAAGGCAGAGTTGTTTATTTATTAAGATTTTGGACTAATGTAAGTATTCAAGTAGATTTTCAACTTTATTTATTTATATTTTAATGGAGCGAAGCGATCATGACATTTTAGCTAGGATTTTATTACAGAAATAATTTTGATATACCAGAAGAGATAAATGCAATGCTGTATAATAATTTCACGGTTTGCTGCATGTTTTTATGTTATCTCAGAAAGGTTAAGTGATGTATAATCTAAATTTTGTGAATGAAAATTTTGTAATGTAAGAGCTAATTGTTATAATTTCTTCTCTTTGACTTACAAGAGGTGACTTGTAGGGTGGTAGCACAGCTCTGCTGAAGTTAATGGTGCCTCAGGCAGTGAAGAGGGTCCACCTATTAGATCTGTCTGAAATAACTAATGTCTTCAAAAGTGCATAGAAGGAATGTAAATTAAATCAACAACCTGAAAAAATGTTGTGTGTACACCCTTCAGAAGGGAAATAAGATAGTGTGAAGGTTCAGTAAAGAATAGCTTGTGGCCTGCTCTGCTAGCACACTTGTTACCTAATTTGCTGCATAGGGATGAATCAGGATGCATGAGAGTCATCCTGATTGTGGGATTTCAATTTGTAAACTCAAGAAGTATAAAGGAGTGTGCTCCTTATGGACCCTCCTTAGAATCCGGGCTTGGGTGAAGGATTTGGGGAACTTGCTTTGACCTCAAGTCTGAGTTTTGCCTGGCATGTGTCACATAAATTTGGTATAACTTTTGTGCCCCCCACAATGTGGCTTTAGCCTCCCAGTGCATGTTTGGAAGTTTCCAAATTTGAATTTGATAAAAAGCCTTTTTTCTACATTCTAAAATGCAGGTTTGAAATATGCAGTTATGTAGAATTGTTCTTATTTTTGTAACCGAAAATGCTTTTACTGTGCGTATAGTTTTATATATATATCACTTACTATGGGCTCTTTCAAGTTGGAATTTCATGTTGTGTTAGTACAGGAATACTGTTCCTCCTCATGGTGGATCACATTCAGCAGTACCTGTAAGAGTAAGTTTGAGGAATTTTTTCTGTGAATGAAATACTCTATATTTCACATGAAGGCAAGCATGGGATCCTTCTAGCATGTTTTCACGCAGCCTGTAAAGTTTCCACGTGAATCTGTGTGGGAACTGTTGACCCACCTGTGCTGAGTCCTGTGTGTGCCACTGGTCTTTTTTGTTATGTAGCAGTAAAGCCCAGAACCCTTTGCTATGCTGCAAAAATGCACCTTTTTCCAGAGCCATGCATCTGAACCCTTGGAATGAAGAACACCCTTTTACTGGTTCTCTTTAATAGCTTCATGTGTGAAATTGCATTGACATGTGCAAGGATGCAATAAACCAGAAACAAACCCAGAACCAGAAAACAGACTCGGGATGTCTTGAACGACTTAATGTAGCACTTCATCAGAGCTCACTGTCCAGAGGGAGTAAACAGAAACTATTTTTGAAGTGACAGGCCAGAGTAAAATTGTCTAACACTCTTCATTTTACTGATGCATCGGGTGGAGGTCCAGAAGCCACATTAGAGAACTGTAATCCTTCATCAGAGCATTTGTTTGGTTGCCTAACATCTGTGGATTGTTAAGATAAGTTATTACACAGACCTGCTTTAGTTTAGATTAGTTTGGACCACATCCCAGTATATTCAATCAGGGTATAATTCCTGCATGCTGCTAAATTGCTTGCTCCACATACTTCTCTAAAAATGTTTTTCAATATACAGTTTTGTCACTGAAACTCTTCTGTCACCTCAATTTTTTAATTTTTTTTTTCCTCTTAAAGAAGATCTTTTATTATTTTTTCTTTTGGACCGAATAGATCTCAAGGCAACTGTAGCATTTTTTAATTCCTGAAGAGATTCCTAAACAGGGATGGTAGTATAGCTGCTGTGTGAGTATAATACAGATTTCCTATGTGTGTAATCTGTGGTGATTGGTATGTATTGTGTCCAAGATGCAGAGTTTAAAAATAGCTGTAAGAAAATGGGTTTGTATTTACTTGTCTAGTATTTCTTCTTTCAGTATTCTGTATTTTTCGGAGTCTCTTTGTGCATTAGCAATTCTTACTTGTTTGTATCTCATAATATTTTGCATAAAATTAATTACAGTATCAAAGGTAATTATGTAAATTATTAGTATTTTCTTGAAGTTTATTACATAATTTATACATATTTAAAATTATTGAATACATTAAGTTGTAAAGGAAGTATGTTACTGGGCTTGCATTCATACACATGTATGCAATTTAATTAGGATAATTTACTTCTACTTTAGTATTCCTTATCCTTTAAACAAACTCTAGTTGATTAATATTTTTAACAACACTTTCTTCAGTCTTTCTTGGAAACTGATAAAACACAGGTAATGACATGTTTTGTTACTGACTTTGGTTTATAGCATTGACATAGATTTTATACACAGACACATTTGCATGCACACTCTTATTATCTGATGGGCTAACAGCTATGGCAGATCCTATAAAGGCATTTTAAAATTTGTCTTTTTTTCTTTTAGCCTTGCTGGTTTTTTTGAATACCTGTAATAATAATCTGATAAACTGAAAGTCTGTTCTATTTAGAACAGATAGTTTAATAAATTGAATTGCTGGTTTTCAAGGTGTACTAGATGGAATAAATTAGACGTTTTGAAATCAAGGGCTTTTTTTGTTTGTTTTTTAAAGGTCTAGCATTTATCTTTGTCAAAGTTGCTGTTTCTATTATCCTACTGAGTATTATTTGTTTCCATGATGATATATGTATGTGCCTCTTTTGGAAAACTGTAGCTTTTGATTAAGATTGGGTCTTTTTTAATTAATGTGTTAGTAGATACTTTATTATCCTTCTTAAATAGATGAAATAAAACAGTCATCTTTTGATAAATGTACAATCCTGACAGAGGGTAAAGAGTTGGATGTCTTCTCTGTGTAGTTTGCTCAAACAAGGCAGAGATGCACTTGGAAATTCTGATGTAGTTTTCAGACCTAAAAAGACAGTCTATTCTAGAGTGTTTTAAATAAATTTTAATTATTTTAAATGTGCAAAATGCCTAAAATTTTCATCGTGCCCTGTAAGCCATGCACTACCTCCACAGGCCAGGGAGGAAAAGAGCTCAGTAGCAGAACTTTGTCCTGTTTCAGGTTCTTCCATGAAGTGTTTTTTTCCTCTTCATTTTAATTTTAAGCGCTGTATTATTTTGTGACTGTTGCATCATTCCTGTGTTTACACAAAATAATTCAAACATATTTTTCCTTCCAACTTTTGTCATCCTTCTTAGCCTCATTGCAATTGTACTCATTCCTATAAACTTTCCATATTAAATTAAGATATTTTCTTTACCATTTTCCTTAATAATAATCAGCTTTGTTTCCTCTCATTTCTATTTTTACTTCTGACAAAAATCCCCTCTCTCCTATATCCTTCATGCATTTTGCCTATTTTTTTTTTCTTTCTGAAAACTGCTTTTTTTTTTGTCTTTAGTCTTGATTAACCAGTCATTTTTCTCTGGTGAGTTGCTCCTGTACATAAGACTGTCTCTACAGTGTACGGGCTGGAAACATAGAGTCTTGCTTTAATGTGTGTGCTCCTGTTTATCTGTGTGTAAGGAATTAAACCCCCCCAATTAAAAAAAAAATCCTAGGCACCACAGTCTGCACACAGCTTAGTTGTGATTTACAGGGACACATGTTTGTTAATTCATTATTTGCAGCTATAACTTAAAGAGATAAAAATGATAATTTGCAAATAGTACAAAATATGCTACTTTTGCATTCTTTTCATTGGTGTATTTTGTTTTCTGTTAGTAGATTTCTTAAGGTTTTACTTTACACCTCTAGGTAGTTGCAGTAGGTGTACCTAAAATCATTCACAGTACATAATGAATTTATTTGCAGGATAATTTGGAGTTATTTAATGTGAGAAAACTTAATCACAAGAAAGTACTGTGTCAATTTTCTGTGACCACAGAAAGGAAGCTGGGAGTTAGCTGGGCAGGATACTGTCCCCTGAGGTACAAATCCTGTTTGCAGTCTGGAGGGCTGGTCTGTCCTGACAGCGATCCACACCAGTGGAAAAAAAACCAACCCACCCCCCCTGCATCAACCCCCCAGCAAGCACTGGTCCTGTTGTCGGTGTCTGTTCAGAGGAGATCTAGGGCTGGGCTGAGGGAGGATTGCCACAGGTAGGACTGATGTATATTGACAACACGTTTTGGAGAAGCTCGCGTAGCATGTGCCTGTAGGATGCTCGGCTCTAGCCAGTGGAGCAGCATGTTCTGGGTCCTGCCATGAGCACCAGCATCCCTAGTTCAGAGAGCCAGAAGTTGTACCTGCTCTGCTGTAGTGAGCATGCATTCCAGGCTCTGGCAGGCAGCTGCACTGACTCTTCTTCTTGTCTTCAACTAGGTTATGTGGGTATGCAATCTGTGTCGAAAACAACAAGAAATCCTAACGAAATCTGGAGCGTGGTTTTTTGGAAGTGGACCGCAGCCCTCACCCAGTCAGGACGGCGCGAGCTCGGATGCGCCCAGAGAAAAGAAAGCAAGACTTCAGGAGAGATCCAGGTCACAGACTCCCCTAAGTACAGCAGCTGCCTCAGCACAGGACATCTCTTCTTCCAGTGTGCAGCCTGACCGTAGGAAAGGAGCTGAAGTGTCGCAGCCGGCTATGGGCCCCGACCAAAAGCAAGCTTCAAGGTCTAGAAGTGAACCTCCAAAAGAGAGGTAATGCTTTCTGTCTGGATAGAGCCTACAATTATAAACGCCAGCTCAGCTGGGCCTGTGGTATGTTTGCTACTGTGCTAAAACAAAGGGCAAATTGGTGTTCTGACCAAGGAAGGATACATTTTTACTAGCAAATACATTGTCTGTTTTGGTCTGTGCAACAAAAATGAGGGGGGAAAAAAGTATTTTGTGGATATTTCCATATACTTAAATCCATTTTTTTTGTACGCTTTTAATATAGAATTAAAATTAGATTACTTTTAAATTTTAAATTTGACAGGTATTTTAAAGTTATTGAACAAAGAACAAGTCTTTAGCTTTATTCGAATTTTTAAAGCAACACTCTCCTGAAAAATCTACACCTAAGCAATCAGAAAGCACACCGTGTGGAATTCTTTCAGATAAACCAATATCTTATATCAGATAAACTTATGTCTTTATCAGTGATATTTCCAATTTTATTGTTAAAATTAATACAGTTAAAAGACCTCATTTGCATGTGTGAAGTTAACATTCATGTAGAACAGCAATAGTACTACGTTGAATTCAGAGCAAGTTGTTTGCAAGAATAAAGCAACCAGAAGAAAACTGTTTTAAGTGAGTAAATGAGGTAATTCCTGAGCTGCATTCTGTGTGATGAATGGGTTGAGGAGTTGATCAAATCAAGAGAGGCTAATGCAATGAAACAGTTGCTGTTCTTTTGGCTGCTGCCTGGCAGATGGCAGAGCAGTTGAGGAGAGAGCCTATGACAACAAAACAGGAGTCTGCCATAGAAAATTCTCCAGATTTTGGCCAGAATGGTTGATGATTTTTACCCCCTAGCTATTGGAGCTGAAAGTGGGTGATGAACAGTGGCTAGTAACTTTACTGTGTGGGTGAGATCTGTCTGGGTTTACCTTTATCGAATTCAGGTTAGTGTTAGGTATATGTATTGTGTAAATGAACACATGATGCCCTCCCTTAATTCTGTTGACTTTTGTCCCCCAACACAGGGAAGGCCTCCAGAGCAGTTATAATATTAGGGCAGCAAAACACTTTATATTTCTGTTTTGCTGCCCAAAAGTGAGATATTCATATTAGTTATACAAAATTAGTGTTCTTGTCACTGAGAATTTCAAATGAATTCCAAGCATTCTGATTGAAGACCATCCATAGTAAGTTCAGCTCTCATTAATTGCCAAAAACTCAGGAGGAACAGGAGACGGGGAAGAAAGGAAAAAAAAAGAGAAGGGATCTTAATGTGTATGATGTCCAACTTTGTTCTTTGTGAGGATCTTTGATATGTAATCCAAAGATGTGTCAGTTGTGGAAGGGAAGATTCACTGCCACAAAACAAAGTCCTAGTGACTTTGTCCTGGTGTGCATTCTTTTCAAATATTCTGTATAGCTGTGTTCATTTTCTTCAAAATCAATGGATTCATATATGAACTGCTAAATGAAGGGGCAACTGGAATGATGAGAGAAATAAAAATAACCAGCATAAGTGAATTTCATGATTATTTGGCTTGCTTATTTTCCCAAAGCAGAATATGAAAGAGAAAAAGAAATCATGCAGCCTTATTTATTGTTTTGTACTTATGTCTGCATAGAGAAATAAACTTCTTATCCTCTTTTATTACTAGAGTAGGGAATACTGTTAATTTATCTCAAGGAATCAACTTGCTTTCCTTTACATGCTTATGAAATGGACACTTCTTTTTAGAGTTTCAATAAGATAAATCAAACTAGTTTAAATATTATTTCCAGATATGTGATCTTTTGCATTTTTTTATATCTTTATTACTTCTTTTTGTAGTATTATTGTGGTAGATAGTCCATTTGGTGGTATTTATATCTATGCTGTTAGGGCACTTGAAGTGATTTGTGTAGTTAGTCTGTAACTCTCATGACTGCTGCCAGAAAAATGGAAGACCTATGCCAGTACTCTGTCATAATGCTGCAGTTACTACAAAGACAACTCTGGGTCTTCTTATTGTGTGGGTAAATTATCTCTATCCATGTCAATATTTTTTTTTGTTTTACTCATTAATTGGACCATTCATAATTTATGTTTTTGTGGACTCTGGAAGTTGTTTGCTACTGGAAAATCAAATTAAGATGGAGGGATTAATAGATTTTATTTCTGTTAATGGATTCAGTATTTTCTGTTTTGCCATAGCTTATCCTGGTTTTGAATTTGTTTTCCGTAACTGTATGCAAGTATTTCTATTTTCCATGCAATTCTTCATATTACTGTATTGCTTTTCATTGTAGGAAGAAGGCAGTATTGGTTTCTGACCAGAATGGCAAAGGTGCAAAGAGTGATCGTAAGCGTGTGCCAAAATCCTCACTTCAAAAAGAAGGACCAACAGACGACAGGGAGCGTAAAGAGCGGCATGAAGGTAGAAGGCTGGAGAAAGGCAAGTCACAGGATTACCCAGACTTGCCAGAGAAACTTGAGGAAGGCAAAGTGCCTGATGATGAAAAACAAAGGAAGGAAGATGAATATCATACCCGTTACAGGAGTGACCCCAATCTGGCAAGATATCCTGTAAAACCACACCCTGAGGAGCAGCAGATGCGCATGCACGCCAAAGTTTCTAAAGCACGACACGAGAGAAGACACAGTGATGTAGCTTTGCCACACACAGAAATGGAGGAAGCGGAGGTACCTGAGAATAAATTAGGAAAACGCTCACAATTACAGGGAGCTCAGGACAGAAAATCTCTTGTGGAAACTCAGAGGTCGTACTCTATAGACAGAACAGGTGATGTAAGAATTTCTGTTTCTAAACAATTAACTAATCATAGCCCACCAACTCCCAGGCATAGTCCAGTTCCTATAGAACACGTAGAATACAAGAACCACGATTCCTTTATAAAACAGAGCCGCCTTGATCCTAGCTCTGCTATTCTCATGCGAAAAGCAAAGCGGGAGAAAATGGAGACCATGCTAAGGAATGATTCCCTTAGCTCTGACCAGTCGGAATCAGTGCGGCCATCCCCTCCAAAGCCTCATAGAGCAAAAAGAGGCGGAAAGAAAAGGCAGATGTCAGTTAGTAGCTCAGAGGAAGAAGGGGCATCAACACCAGAATATACTAGCTGTGAAGATGTGGAGATAGAAAGTGAAAGTGTCAGTGAAAAAGGTAAGGACTTTTCTGTATATTATGCACATGGCCATGATTTGGGGAAAAAAAATCTGTATTTTTCTCTCTCTTTTCCTCTTTTTAATCATACACTTTTTCCCCTTGCCTTTCTTTTTTTTGCCAACTGAGAAGTGTCTTATACCTGATTACATTTGCTTTACAATGTTTCCTTTTGCATTCTTAGATGAGGTGGTTACAGGTAGCATCAGCTGATGAGTTTCCTTTTCATTCTCTTCCCTCTTTCACTTGGAAGTGACAGAATTCAAGGGTTCTAGTCTATTCTCTTGATGATATCTATATTCCTTTAGTCATTACTTCATTCTTTTGTCTGTATGTAGAACAATTTTCTGAGGATGGACTGAAATTAAAAGTGAGTTTGTAACAATCAGAGATCATTATAAAGCATCATAAGATATGCAAATTTTTACTACATTTAATAAAATGTAGTAAAGTTCATGTAGCCAGAGTTCATTGTTAATAAGGACAAGTGGGGCAAAGGAAGTGTTATGTAGAAAAGAAATGAGAATTGACAAAGTTGTCTAGATGAATTTTCTCTTGAGCTGAGAAGTGTGTTTAAAATCTGTTATTTCAGTTTGTCTTCATCTGTTGATGGTAACACTCACCAGCAAGGAGTAAGTTGTAGCACACTGTGTGCTTTTAAACAAAACCTTGCTTCTGGCTGAAGAAGTTAATCAAATTTAGGGACAATGAAAAGATAAAATAAGCATTGTCAGAAAAGACTGTAGCAGAACTTACCAACAGTCTTATAATCCTACTTTGTCTTTAGGTGACAGTACAGTGAGCTGAAAGCTTTTTGTGTCTTTGGAAGTAGCTTTTAGCTCCTTAGTTTGACTATCTGTGTTTGTACCTTGAAAGTTTCTTGCTGGTATTCAAACTGAAAATGCCAAAGGCTTGTCTGCGTTGCCTTTTAGTTCCTGACATGTCTGTGATTCATATATGCTAACCTGTCTGTCTGTCTTTATCTGGTGTTATGGTCTCCTAGCATTACCTAAAGCTCCAGGAATACATAGCAAAGATAGCATATCCCATCTGAATAACTGCTTGTTTTAACTTTCTAAGCATGAACTTTTCCATGCAAAATACAGAAACTTGCTTTTCTGCCCATTTTAAAGGAAGAGTGCTGATCATACTCTGAAATTTTATTCCAGATTCCACTCAAACAAAAAAATCTCACTTATTTGACTGAATTTTGTCAAATACTGGAATGTATCACACAGAGATTTGTACAGTCTCCATCCTTGCTTAAAACCCAAATGGAAAAGGCCCTGAGCAATCTGCTCTGCTGACACAACTTTTGAGGAAGAGTGTTTGAACTAGGGACTTAAAGTTTCAACTATTCTGTTTTTCCATGACAACACATCTCTTTCCCTTATTTTGTGGCAATGTTTTAAGCTGACATTTGGATTTGTGTGATTTTCCCTGACTCCATCTGTTGGTAGTAGAAGTCAGTAATATAGCATTTATTTTCCATCTTTGTCTTTTGCTTTAGTTATGTTTATCAGTTTGAAGTTGCTTATGAAGTAAACAGAATTTCTCATAATCAGTGTAGGTTATTCTTATAAACTGCAAGGTTGTTGTTACGTAAGTCAAGTCCAGGCTGGAAGTTACTGATATAATTTTGTTATATAGTTTGTGTTATAATAGTCTTTCATAAATAAAATCTTTCAGTAACTGCTTTCAGGCTCATGACACTGCTCTCAGCTTTTGACCAATTTCCCAGTGTACTGTTAAAACTTTAAGGCTTGGATTTCTTTTCCTTTAGTGTTATGAATTCCAGAGAATTTCAAATGTTGCTAAGGGCTTATGTTCTCAATGACTGAATCAAGTTCTTGTTTACCTCTGAGACACATGTTTAGGGTCCGCCTTTACAGAGTGGAGGCCTTGATTTGTATCAGACCAGAGTGAATAAAAATTATTGATAGGAGTATGTTAGGGACCTGTCTGACCACTGATCTCCACATACATGATTCACATTGTTGAGAATTCCTTGGGACTTTATATCTAATTGTCAGCATAAATTTATGTGTGTGTGTCTGTGTGTGTGTATGGAGGGGGATTCAATGCATTAATTACAGAGATATATTTATTAATTGAATAATGATATTTAGTTATTAATTTTTTTGCCTGATTTTTGATATGACTTTTCCATAAAACAAGGATTGTAAATGGAAAGTCTTTGAAGATGGGGGTGTATAGCCCATAAAAAAGAGATAGGAAATGTAAATACAAATAAGAAAGCAGAAGTATTTTTGATAGTAAAGTATCCAATTATTTTTAGAATTATATTTTTATCGATACTTGAAATACTCGGGTGTGTTTCATAAAAATAGATGGAAAGGCAGGATATTTTATTACCTAAGAAAATATTTTAGAAATCCCCCAGTACTCTAAAAGAATATATGCTACAGTAAAAGGATTTAGTTTTAAAGAAATATATGTATATAAATAATTTTAATAAATAATTTTAAAATGCTGCTATTATAACCCTGGTTATAATAATCATACACATAATCACATTCTTTGCAGTTTAACAGCATTGTTACAAGCAGAATTTCACCAGAATTTCTTCAGTTCTTTGCTTATGACTTGGGAGAGATAGTGCACAGGTTCAAAGTCACAGTGCTTTACTTTGTAAGCCCAGGAGGGTCTGGAATCCATCCTCTCTTATCTAAATGTTAGCTCAGCCAGAAACCTGGTGCCAAAGTAATATAGATGAAGCTAGAAACTTTGAATAGCCCTATTAAAAAAACCCCCAAAATCTTAAAATTAATGTTGGCATTTGGTGAGTGCCAATATGAAATGATCTGCAACTAAGTAATAAAGATGTACTATTTTCAGTTCTGTGTTGAGCAAATAAAATAGAAGTTTCTGTGAGAAACAGCTTACAGAGATCTTTAAAAGCAAATGATGCCCCAGAGAAAGATACAGTACAGCTAGAGCAGATAAGACTGTATTGAAAATCAATAGCCCGAAAGGTCATATAAAGCAGATACTGTGCAAGTATTTGCATTTCCTAGAAACAGATTAGTATTGCATTACTCTATCTTCTGAGCCCAAAAAACCTTCAAAAAAGAATCAACCTAATATAGCTAATACATCCTCAGCTATTTACTTTAGCCATTTAATATGTATTTCTTCAAAAATATTCAAATAATTATGCACAAAGACTGGGAGATACTTTGCAAAAAATAAATGTCTTTTGCAATCCACTGGCATTTTACTCCTTTGGTGGAGGATGCAAAGATTTATGTCAAATTGTTTCCATGTTGGAGTAAATCTAGAGAAAGAACTCTATACAATGTCCAAAAAAAATTGACGAATGTCATCTCAAATTCTTATTAAATTATCTACACCCTTTACAGGATGCTACAGATTGCTGATAATATTTTTCCTTCTATTATTAATAGAGTCTATAGAACTCCTTTTTTTTGAAATCTCTAGTAGTTTAAAAATAGGTGGTCTGAGTTTCCAGTGAAGTCCTGGCAAGGTGAAAGGAATCCTTGTAGAAGGCATAAATTGCATTCATACTTGCTTCAAAGACAAGCTAGAGTAGCATAAATCAGACTTAAAAATTACATTCAGACCTCATTTTAAAAGTAATAATTTCTATCTACTGCCATCCAGTGAAGAATACAAATTGTATTTGGCACAAGTTTGAGAAAAAGTATTTTCTTTGAACTTAAAAAATAAGAATTTGTGTAGAATTAATAGGTTTGTGTCCAGATGAGGTTGTCTAAAAGTTGTTATACCCATTGATGGATACAAGAGATACACCAGAATTTGTCATGCAACCTTTGAAACTGGAAGATGAAGTATTGTTGGAAATTGGAGCAATGTTGAGGAGGTATTGCTCCAGTACTTTTACGTAAATAAATGTACCCATGATTTTACATTTTTCATACTTATTGTTCATATTTGCCTAAATGAGTATTTTGTTCACACACTTTAGGCTTGAAATTGTGACTAATACTCACAAATTGGTAGTAAAATATTGAAAACCTAAGTAAAACTCACTCTGTATACTTGCTAATGGATTTACTTGGGAGTGAGGAGAGAATTATAGAATTGGCATCTTCTTTAAAAAACAAACTCCTGAAATCGCTTTCTGTTTTCTTTCAGTGATGTGATCTTTTTATTCATGCCTTTCTCACGGTACTGCAAGGAACAGGGCGACCCAATTTAATTTAATTTCATTCTTATGACTTTAGTTTCTGGTTAGAAAATGCTATGGCGGGGATCTTGCTGTTTTCTTGTATTATTCTCAGGGGGTTGTGAGCAGGAGGAGAGGATGTGGAGGTCAGGAGCAGAAAGGGATGCTGTGGTTTGCTGACAAATGTGTCAGTGCTGGCTCAGCTCCAGGAGGGAAGGACCTGGCCCCTTCCTCCGTCCTTTTCTGGTGTTTCAAGGGTCCCTTTGGGTACTTGTGCTTGGGGGTGCTCCCAGGGGAAGGACAGAATAAATTATATACTTGCCCCAATGATTTGTTCCAAGCTCTGTAAATATTGTTGACACAGAAGGTAGCTTGGGGACTAAGAGAAAAACCACACACGTGCAGTAGGACCTAGAAAGGAACCAAAAGAATGCATTGGGAAAGGGCTGTCGAGAAGAGGAGGCTGGTTTGAAATGTTTTTAGTTAAACTTTTTGACTGAGGTATCTTCGGTCTGGAATGTAGGCACGTCAAATTGTATTGCAACATCTGCTAGCATCTTTTAAGATCTGTTTGTTTGGAGAGTTGGGCATGGAGTTTTAAAACTGGAGCAGAATTTGTTTAAAAGTGTGGCTGAGATTTAACTTAGTGTAAAATAAAATACCCTTCCTAGGAAGATTGCTGGTTTTTAGATATTAGTTCAAATTTATCTTCTTGTCCTTGTGCAGTAATTTAGACCTGCATCTGAGTCAACTTTTAATGGAAATACAATTTAAAATTACTCTAGTTTCAGAGTTTTGTTCATTGCTAACATTATTCACTGCTATCAGT